GATTGTGTCGATATCTTCTCCCTGAGGCCATATAAATGCCCCCTTATATGACCTGAAAAATTTTATAGTCCATTCTTCCGCAGCTTTTTCAAAAATTTGTCCAATATAATGTCTTATTGTCTTTTTTGTACAGTATTGCACTAGCACCCATTTTCCTATTGCCAAGAAACAGTCTTGATCCTCGTCAGAAGCCTCAGAAAATGCTTCCGGATCCATATCGTCCTCGGAATCAATATAATCTACGAAGGCGTCATCAGATTCGCTTGTTTCAGGTGACTTCTCGGGTTTCTTTTTAGATGACTTCTTTGTCAGCTCTTCCATTTTTGCTTTAGCCTGTTTGGAGGTAATAATTTCTGAACCGGGGGCGATACGCTTACGTTTAATGATCGGTTCTTTTTTGGATTGTTTGATAGTTTCCAACAAAAGCTGCTCAAATGAAACATTTGGTGGTTGATAAACTTCGCCGTTTGAAGGACGAATTGGCTCTGCAGAAGTACTCGCTACAGGTTCAATATTTTCTACTTGATGAGGTGTTTCTTGTTGCGTTTCTTGAGGTGTTTCTTCCTGCGCTCCTTGAGGTGCTTCCTCCTGTGTCTTTTTCCAACGTTTAAGGCTTTCGGGATCAAACAAGCTCTCAGGTATCACGTTCGGATTGTACGGAAAAATACCTGCCTTTTTAAAACCATTTGAGATTGTTTCCGTAGAGAGCTCTAGCCATGAGCTTTGGACCATGGCGGAAAATGTAGCCTTTGGTACCTTAACAACTATATTGTGTCTCTGCCATGTAACTAATTTTGCGTCCCATTTATCTTTTAAAGGTTTGAACACTGATAGATCTAGCGGTTGTAATAAATGGGAAGTATGGGGAGGCAATTTCAGGATTGTAATATTTTCTTGAATAGCAAGTTCGATTACTTTCTCTGTCACATGTGTACTGCGACCATCGTATATCAGTAGCTGAGGTCTTTCTGTGCCCATTGTTGGAATAAGTGTTTTTGCTAAATAATTGCAAAAAACGTCAGCTTCCATCCATCCGTTTTTGGTAGCGCCATGAGCGGTACCGGGAAAAATTTCATTTTCGGGAATCCAAGATTTCCAAAGATTTTTTGCTTTGAATAATATCAATGGTGGTGCTTTTTTTCCTGCAGCATTTACGGCTGCCAATATGGTTGTATTCTCTCTTCCAGGACTGCTCACAGTTCTTGAAGCAGTCTGTCCAATTCCACCCACCACTTTAGTTTTGCTGGGATCAAGACATAAACTCGACTCGTCCAGATTCCAGATTTTATCTGGCTGATTCATTACATCGAGATCTTGAAGCGTTTGTTTGAGCAAGTTGAAGTAGGGATATATAATAAAAGGATCCGTCATATTTTTCCGTGCATATTCAATACTCTGAGGTTTTTTTATCGATAGTAAATGCCGCTTTTTAAAGTTAATAAACCAATCTTCTCCAGGCTTGTTGAATTTAAATGGTGTTTTCAGATTATTCATTTCAACATATTGTTTTACAATATCAAGCAACTCCAACCGGCTCAAGCCAAATCCCCACGTCTCCATTTTTTTCAAACAATTCGCCAATTTTCGTTCATGTTCTAGTGTGGCGGTCGAACAAATGTTGAGCTTTTCGTTCCACGTCTTCCTTTCAGGTGATCTCGAATTGTTGATAATGGAATTCTGTATAAAGCTGCAGCTCGTTTTGGTCTCATTAAACCATTACGAATTTCTTCCACGACACGTCTCAAGACTTCTTGGGTGTACGATTGTCCTCGCTGTGTAGTTCTAACGTAAACTCGTGGCATTTTGTGAAAAGTCTACAAAAGAAAATAAAAAAAAAATAATAGGGGAAGAGCACATACCATGTGCACTTCCCCCTTACGAAAAATGCGCACTTTCCCCAATATCAAATTTTGCTGGGGCAAGTGCACACCTACGCGAATTTCAGCTCTTAGCTTGAACTCTAGAAAACCAACTTGCACCCACTGAACTATACCAAAAGCGAACACTATTACATATGAACACTTTTACACTTACCCAAAGACAACATAGAAACCACTTATAAAAAGTAAATAATCCAATTTACACAAGAATTTAAAAATGCACGTTGGAGTTTAAACAGGTTTTGCCGAAGTGACGCGCGCTGTTGCCACGTTTTGTCGATTCCTAACGCTGACGTATGAACGTTTCAATTGAAATTCATAGATGGCGCACCATAAGCTTTAGAAATTAATTTTTCAGGGTCGTGGGATGCACTTTCCCCAAAATTGCACTTACCCCACCTAACCTTATTTATATCTTTTACCTATCACCTGTAATAACGGCTGCAGGTGGATGTTAAAATATGGTGACTCACCCTGTACTTATTTGATATCGATATTTAGTTAAAAATGATGGTATTTTTTTTTTCGCAACAAATTCACTGTCCGCATCATTTGTTAAGGTAATTTTATAATGACCGGTATTATAAAACACTGAATCGATGATTGAGTTTCAACCTTCGGTTGACTCCATGCAAATTGATAGGATTCAACCAAGGGTTGGGATGGAACTCTACCATGGGTTCAGTGTTTTATAATACCGGCTCTAAGTCAAGTGAAATTCAATTCCGTGGAATGTAAGGAAAATGTTAGCCAATTTTTCAAAGTACCCAACAAATTTTGAAAAAATGGAAAAAAGCAATACGAATACGAACTCTCTTCTACTGCTTTCTAGTTCAAAAGACTATTTCTAGGGGGGGGGGCAAATGCCCCCCCTTGCCCCCCCCCCCCAAAAACGCCCATGAATAAATTATGGTTTACAATAATTGTTAAAAATGTTGACCATTTACTTCAATGCAAAGATTACACTGTCGGGTCATTGACTGAAAAGTTTAGTCTACGAAACACCTGTTTGTAATGAGGAAGATCTGATAGCAAGGATACTGGCGAGTTGCATTCATGTAGAAGCTATTCCCGGAATATTCCAAAGAGTTCGCGAGTTGAACAATTATTGTAAACCATAATTTATTTGCTATTAAAGCAAAATTAATAAGTAAACAGTGATTTAATTATTGCGAAGAATAAAACTAGATACCAAACAGTTTTTTTGCTCTACAGCCCAAATGGCTCATTTATTTATTTATTCAAAGATATCAACAGCTTAAGCCAATTACATTTGCGGACATATGTTTATATAAACAAAAATGCTTGTTTTGATGTCCCCTACTACCCCTTAAAGTTTGTCGGTATCTTTTTGGGACACCCTGTACACACCTAAGTTGTTGAAAAAATAGGTACAGGTCTGTTCCTTATAATAAGTGTTGAACTTAAACAAAAAAAAATAATAGAAAAAAAAGTTCAATAAAAAAGTTGTAGGGTTTAATCCGTTTTATCTGTATTATCTTTTGCACACTTCAAAACGGGAAAATGACAGGTGGCAACTGTCATAATAACTAACCCAAACTGTTGCATTTTTAAAATGGAATACCCTGTATATTTTTGGCTAGAATAAATTATTTCTCTGATTCCAATGAGGATTCCAAATATAACATATTATGTTGATATTTGGTTCAGCTGTTTTTATGCTAATTAAGTTTAAAAATGCATTTATATTACCCCTTGCATTACCTTAAACTATGTCTGTTCCCGGTTCCTTATATCAATAGTGAGGGTTTCTCGAGGGGTTACTGCAATTTTAAACTTGAATACCTAACACAAAAACAGCTGAAACAAATATCAACATATAGGTATGGTATATTTGAAATCAGAAGAAAAAAATAAATCATTCTAGCCAGAAATATACAGGGTGTTCCATTTAAAAAATGCAGTGTTTGTCATTATGTCAGTTGGCACCTGTCATTTGCCCATTTTGACATGTGCGAAAGATAATAGAAATAAAACCCTACAACTTTTGTATTTAACTTTTTTTATTTTTATTTTTTTGTTTAAGTTGTAGAAGCTGCACCAATTATGAAAAACAGACCATGTACCTACATGTGTATTATACATACTTGGTATTATATTTGTTTTAATTTCCTAAAAAGGTTTTTTTTTATCATCAAGGGAATAATATCAAATGCAGGTTTAGGTTACTTTCTCGGTTAGTTTAACCCCCTGTATTCTAGTTACCGAACGTTAATTAACGTATAACCTTGCATTTGATCCTACTCTCGATCCTAGTTGATAAAATGCTCTTGTATTTCAACACTGAGCGAAATAAAATAAAAAAATACATTTCTTATCACGAGCAATTATGGGGATTTTCAGGGAATTTGTGGGAATTTGAAGGAAATTTGTGGGGTATTTGGGGGAATTTGTGGTGGGATATTTATAGGAATTTGTGGGAAATTTGAGGACTAACGAAACTTTGTCATGGGACTGGTATGTTTATTGACCTAAGTAGGTATTTAATGTGTGTGTAAGTAGCCATGACATTACCAAAATTTTTAAACAAGCACTTGATTGAGCATTAGCCTCTGATATCAGTTACCTGTTGAAGGGAAGGGTCAGTACTCGGGTCAGTAATAAGTAAAAAGAAAAAAAAACATCAGGTACTTAGGTAATCTGATTAATTTTACTTTTTTTTTCATTCAGGAAGAATTACCTACCAAACTATTTTCAGTACAATGGTAATTGAAATTTTTAAGTAGGTACCTACATAATTTTAGATTTTATTTCGTCCTTTCGATACAAAAATTTAATTTGTAAGCTAAGTATAAAAGAAAAACATTGCACAATGCACAATAAGTTATAAATAATAATAAAAGTTTATTTGCAGTTCAGGTCTTTTTTTTTTTAAATGGAGATGTACCTAGCTATTTAACTAAAATTTGGAGAAATGGAATTTATGGGTGAAGCATGCTAAATACCTTCTAATGGATAAATATCGAAAATATCACTGTTCCCTGAAAACTGAAGTGATTGTAAAACATGGAATGGGGAAAATTCAGGGTCATTTATGCAGAACAAAGAGAGGTAAATTTATTGCCTAAAAGCTAAAATGCAACATATGGAAAAACTCACCATCAGCAGGTTGTTGGAAGTTAACATAGGCATATCCTAAAGACCTCCGAGTGATTAAGTCCCTGCAGACACGAATGGACAAAACTGGACCAGTGGTAGAGAACTTCTCAAAAAGTACGGCCTCAGTTATATCAGCATGCAAATCCCCGACGTACAGAGACGCCATGGGATAATTTGGGGCCCCTTGGTTCATCTTGAATCAAACAACAAACTAACGACACAACAATAATAAGTAATAACAAATACACAAATTAAAAGTTGCAAGGGTTCTGTGAAAAATGAGTACCTAGTCTTCACTTTGATTTTTCGATTTTTTTTTGTTTAATTTTCGTTTTTAGTTTTTTTTTTGTTTTTCAGCACGATTTTTATTATTTTTTTTTGTATTTTTAATTGAATTATTTCACTGTGGATCAGTGGTTGTGCGGCGGAACACGGACACAACCACTTTCACACACCACTACTTTTAACAAAATGGAGATTGTGTCATGAATACACAAATACAAATACTAAATTCTGGTTGGCCGTCACGCATGTGCCATGTGCCGCGCGTCTCACGATTTATGTCTTGGTTTGCGCAAGGGCTGCAGTCGGACTCTAATTGCATTCGAACACCAAAATGTTGAAATTAAATATTTAAATAATATTACTCAAGAGATTGGAAATCATTTGGAAATCCATACTTTGGAGTTTGGAATGAACAGAATTTAATCATCAATAAGTGTTAACAGAAACGCTGATCCGATAAACCCGATCACAGGCTGTTTTTTTCCATCTCTTTTCAATGAACACGATGAAAAAAAGACAAATTACATCAGGCGATGATAGGGTTAATCGGATCAGCGTATCCGTAAAGGCCAAGCCTATAGATGGCAGACTCAATAATAAATTGCAGAATAGGTAAATTGTACGCCCAATCCAATCGTTTGGAAATCATTTGGAAATATTCGAAAACCTATTCTCAGAGTTTGGAAACCATGCTAAAATCACAGTTAAAATCCTATGTATAACATATTGTTTAGTTTAGTAAAGGTTCGTCTTCGTCTGGTCAAAGAGAATTTAATATTTATTCATTCATACAAACAAATTAAAAGCCAAAATACAATGTTAGCGCGAATCATTATTCAGGAATAAAAATGGGGTTGTAAGTTACCAATTTAACCAGATAACTTGAGTAGGTAGTTCTGCCTTTTTGCGGATGACTGGGTATGACCGATTCTTGGGTCTGACCATGAAAAAAAGGCACAAACCCTAAGACAAATCGTTTTTCTACTTTGAAAACCTGTGGCGATTTGAAGTTCTGTCAATTTATTAATATTCAATATGGCGCCATGGGCATAACAAACTTGACGACCGCAGTTGAACGACTGGCCGTTTGCAATTTGAATTGGAATTATTATAAACGTACCTTAATGGGGCGTTTACATTATTCAAGTGGTTTGATCAACTCGATTGAAGGCAAGTGACTTGTATTCAATTTTTTGTTTACATACGTTGTTCTAAATAAATATCCATATCAGTGGATTAAAAATGGCGAAAATCCTAGTTAGGAATGCTATTCTTCGAACATTTCAATTCTAGCTGGAAATGTAGTAGAAAATATTCGTAAGAAAAAACAACGGAGAAAGAGAATATGGGTTAGAGATTGGATTAGTCGCAGGGAAAAACAAGGTGTTTCAAATAACTTTTATGAACTTAAATTGGGAGATCCAAGGGATTACAAAAATTTTCTATGAATGAGCATCAATTTGATTATTTACTAGAAAAAGTAAAAGGCATTTATATTCATTTCTTTTGGTATTCCACAAATACTCATATTTTTCGTACACATTGTTAAACTTGCAGGATTTCTCCTCTGACCATCTAGGTGCCGCCATTTTAAATATGTGTTTTTTATTCAATTGAATATAAAAAGTTGAACATGTTTCAACTGAGAAGCCATTTAATTAACGCGATAAAGTGACATGAATAAACGCGCTTAGATATTCAGTTCGCTGTCAAGTCACTTGAATTCAATTGACTTGATAAACTCCCTTGAACGCCGCATTACCCAATTTTGTTGTTCCCCCCAACGCCATATTCAATATTAATGAATTGACAGAACGTCAAATGCCTATAGGCCACTTTTCACGTGCCGGAAATATGGCAAATTATCAAGGATGATACACACTACTACTACAGGATGGCCTATCCTCATAAGGCCTGTGTGTAACAAATCCCCCCCACGCCAAAATACCAGTTGTGACGTAGGCAGTATGTTATTTCTCGCTTTGACGTAGGCTGTTTAAACAGCTGACGACTTATAGTCGCTACCAATATGGCGGCGATTACCAAAAACGAGGCCGATAAGCACAAAAATTCACGTGAATGAAAACGGCCTCTAATTGGCTAAAGCCGATATTCATGCGCTAGTTGCCACATTAAAAATGTCCTAATATTTTAGGATCATTAGTACATAGCAACAGTTCACCGATTACCGATTCTATATTTTATTTTTTTATAACGTAGTAGAGGACGAAAATAGGTTTTAGGTAGTGAGCTGTGAAATAGGTAACTAGTTTTATGTCAGCCATGTTTTGGAATGGGAATTTATTGAGAAATTCGGCATCATTCCATTTTTGGGAAAGTGACGTCACTTTGGCTGATAATTAATTATATTTTTATCTGGCAGATAATAATTATTCGATGCAAAAGGCAGTTGAGTATTGGATTGTAGCTTCCACTTGAGTATATTTCAAAAATTGTCAAGTAGAAGTTTTTTTCTTTTTAGATTTTATGTGGGTTTTTGTTTTTTTTTCTTTTGGCATATGATTAATAATTGTATTTATCGGATTTTAGATCATTGAGTTGTAACTTCCACTACATCACTGTCATTAAAAAAAAAATTGTTACCTTGATACCAGTGTTCCACACTGTTTTAGGCATAGAGCTATTTAGATAATTTATAAATTGTATACTTGATTTTCAAAAAAAAAACTTTCCTATCCCGCGCTTTCGCAGCAGTTTAAAAATTCGATTTTCAAATCATTTTATTTTCAAAGACAAGCGTTTTTTTTTTTTTGGAAAAAAGTACCTTTACAGGTGTTATTAGAATTAGAGTGGAATGTGGGTTTTTCAACCCACTAGCCAGCCCATAGTGGCATCGCACACTTTCCTACATTCTCAAAAAATAGGAAAAAATAAAAATTAAAATTAAAAATAAGTACAGGAACTGGGCTTGGATTAACAGTTGATAAGATTCAAGTATCGTTCAAGTGAGGTTCGCGCAGCGGCCAAGAGTACTTGATCCATGTGCTTGGTCTAAGTGCATTTGGATGAGAACTTGGACCAGGGGTAAAGTTGGCAGCCAGCTTACTTACTTGGATGTTAGGACCGATCCAATTGGACTTGAATGAACAGTTGATACGATCCAAGTACACTTTAGACCGTGCAATCACAAGATCCGCGAGTCAACTAACAGTTGCGCACGCACGCCCTCTCCTTGGCGCGTTTTTCAAATGACAATCTCTTGATTTTATGAAAAAAAAAACCAAGCATTTTTTTTTTACGGAAAAAAAAAAAAAATTTACACGGGTTTTTTTCATTTGAAAAAAAAGCGGTTGTTTAACATCACTAAGGCTCGGTTCGTTCATCTTCAGATAAACTTGCTGGTAACTATCTGCAAGATAAATTGAACGTTCTATAATTCTATTGGTCGGCGGATAACTGGCCCACCAATGGGATTACGGATTGCGTTTTTATCCATCAGATTGCATACCTGAGAGTTTATCAGGGGGTGAATAAACCGGCCCTAAGAATAACTAACAGGATAATTCAAAAATGTTGTTTAAAAATAATGTGAACATGGCCTATCAATTGTTGGTGTTATGCGATGCCAACCGTTAGGCAGGGATTAGACTGAACGACCACTCTCGATCGTCCTCGAACGTTCTTGGGCGAACCAAATGATAACGGCCGTCGGGTATTTATACTGAACGTTCTTCATCAATCAATTTTTCTTGCCTTCTGCCAATCATCTTATCTATCTGCGAGTTCTGGGACATTTTTCTATTGCGAAAGATGGGGCAGTATAAATGGAACCGCTCGTTTAACTAATGGCCGTTCCCACCAACTACTTTAGGGGAGCACTAACGATAAGTATCACCTAAAATTACATTTTTACATGGAGAAATGTCAGTTTAAGGCATACCTATCGTTAGGGCTTCCCTAAGTTGGTGGAAATGGCCATAAACTAACTAAACTTTGGTTTTACATTGTTTGTTTTTTGCTCGTTCGAGGTCGATCGATAGTGCTCGTTTTGTTAGGTAGGGATTAGACTGTCCCTATTTAACAAAGGACATTCATTCCAGTTTTTCGTTTCCGGACATTTCCTGCGGATTTCAAAAGTGAGTCCCATATCTGAGTATATGTCACTAGTCAACCAGTAAGATTAGACACCTGTCAACGCCAACCTCACTTTCTTATTTCGATTTGGGGAGTTTTTGCCTGTAGGTAATTCGTTATTTATACTACAGTGACTAAATAAACCTTTACATACAGTGGCGATAATAGAGGTCCCGCCGACATTTTCTTGCTTACCTCTTGCTAATTTTACATATGAACTGATCCATGTCCATTTATCCTATATATTCATATTTGAAATAAGCGAGAGTTTGAAGAACCAATCAAAAATAAGACGGCAATTGTCTCCACTGTGGTTCAATAGAGTCACTGCAATTTATACCGGCCATATTGGAGTGAGCTGGAGCTCTTGATACCTTGGCGAAAGCTCAATATAAAGAATAGCGACCAAAAGACCTACTATCTTTAAGAGTTAAATAATAAAAAAATAATTTTGATATATTTTTTTAATTTTTATTGTATTTTTTTTTGCACCTTAATAAATTGAATTGAAGACTATTTATCAAAAAATATGCGAGAATAAAAATGTTTTTTTTTTTTTTTGGTAGTTACCTACAGGGTGCAATCTATTATAAATCTCACCCTCTCACCCTCTCCTAACTTCTTCATTTGACGTTTTTGACAAAAGTGTCAAATGCAGAAGTTTTGAGAAATTGTCAAAGGTTTTTAACTAAGTCAGCTATAAGCATACTGAGGTGCTTTCCAGTGACCCATTTGAGTTACTCCTGAGCAGCTCAGGAGTGCTCCAAAATTGCTTTGCGCGTTCCAGTGCTTAGAGTGTCGTACACTTGAACTACTCATTTCTGTAATCCCCTGCCCCCTCGTGCACCAACCTTTATTTCGGTGTTCCATGCTACTTAAGTCCGAAATGGTGGGGGTCAAGACAAGAGCGTTCCAGTGAACACTTCAAAGAGCGTCACACTCCAGGAGCATGATACTCTAACAATTTAGGCACTGGAAAGCAGCTCTGGGTGCGTCAACAAAGTGTAGCAGTTCGAACTCATATTATTTTAAATGGAACACCATGTATATTGTGCGCTTATCAGTTAGTCCCCTTCAACCTGATTTCATCGGTATACGGTTTGATATGCCTTTCTTTAATTCATTAATTCACAATGTGAAATAC